CAGGTCCCTGGGGATGCAGGTCCCTGGGGATACAGCCCTGCTCAGCGATGCAGGACCTGCTGCCTGAGCCCTGGCGTGGTGGGGCGATTGCCCCCAGGGTGACTGCAGCAACCCCCTATGAATGGGAAATGTCCCCCCAAACCTGCCCAAGACCCATCTCTAAAAAAAAGGGTTCTGGATGTAGATGTCCCTGATGGCCACAATGACATCACCCGTCTGGTACTCGGTCAGCAGAGCCACCACCTTGATGATGTTGTCCTGGGTGAGGTTCTCCCCGTAGTTCTCGTACAGGATGCGCAGGGGCACTCTCTCCTCTGGAAGGGGGAGCAGAGCGGGGTCAGGGCTCGCCCCCTCCCCAGCCCAATGCCCATGGTCCTGCGCTGGCACCCAGCTCCTGCTGGGGTGGTCTGGGCTCCCCCGGGGCTTCTCCAGGGGAAAGGATGGGAAAGTTTGGGGGAGCTGGGTCCCTGCAGCCCTGGGGTACCCCTGTGGGGAAGGGGTATCATGGGGTGGGCACAGCACCATGAGCCCCTCAACAAGCCTGTGCTGGGGGGTGTCAATCCTAATCACGTTACGTTTCTCTGTCAACAACCCCCAGATTGCTGGTGTTGCCCTGTGCCCAGCTGGATCCTCGGGGTGCTGCTGGGGTGCTGGGTGCTGCTGCAAGGAAGCAGAGCTGTGAGCACCCGGCTCAGGGAGGGACCCCACAGCCCGGCCAGGGCTATGACAGCAGGACCCAGACATGACATTCGGGGTGCTGGGAGGAGAAGGAGCCCTACGCTGGGACAGGAGCCCAGGGATGCACCGGGGCCCCCGAGGGGCTTTGGCAGCCCCTTGCAGCTGGAGCCGGCTCCCGGCAGCCGCCCTTGCTCAGTTCTGAACGTTGTTTATCCCAAAGCCCGTTGGGGACAGGGCTGTCTGGTGCTGAGAGGGGAAGGAGGCTGAAGGCAACCAGCTGCAGAGCTGCCCGGGGGATGGACCCTGGGGAAGCTGTGACCGCTGGAAGCGAAGCCGGGTGTTCCCAGGGCAGGACGTGAAGTGCTGGAGCCTTGGCTGAGGCTGCAGGGAGAGGGATGTGCCCGGCTGGGCTCCCTGTGCCGGCACAGAGAGCAGGGGGTCCGTAAAGGCTGCAGTGTGGGGAGTGCTGGGGTCTGTAGTCCTAGGCAGGAGGTGAGGGGGAGAAACCTCAGGAGCTTGTAATTAAAGCTTCAGAGAATTGTCAAATCATCAGATGGTTTGGGTGGGAAGGGACCTCAAAGCTCATCCAGTCCCAACCCCCCTGCCATCAGCAGGGACACCTTCCACTAGACCAGGTTGCTCAAAGCCTCATCCAACCTGGCCGAGAACACTTCCAGGGAGGAGCAGCCACAGCTTCTCTGGGCAACCTGGGACACTGTCTCACCACCCTCACAGTGAAGAACTTCTTCCTCACATCTCATCTCAATCTCACCTCAAGTTTAAAACCATCACCCCTTGTCCTGTCACTACTAGAAGATGATGTTGGATTAACTGATGGACGGGGTGCTGGCGTAAGCAAAGGCTTCTTCCCACAACGCAGCCGACGGCAGAGCCGGGAGCTGAGCGCTGCGTTTGTCCCAGGCCCCGTGAGAGGAGCAGAGCTGGGTGAGGGTTAACAACGCGGCTGCTCCAGGACAGCAGATGTATTACATTTCCAAGCCCTGAAGGGTCTGTGGAAAACTGACATAAATCAAAGCTCTTGTTTAATTACCAGGCGGTGATGCTAATTTGTAACAAAGGCAAATGAGGGCTCAGCGAGAGCTCTGTGCCCAAACACTGCGGGATCTCGCGCCCGCCCAAGGAGAAGCCGCCGAGAGCGTCAGCGCTGACCTGACCCCAAGGAAGCACCCAGCACCCTTGCCCGGCTGCCAGCAGGTCTCTTACCCGCCTGGGGCGCGAGGGTGAGGT